GAAGGATCCGTCCTCTCCTTCAAGTTATCGATCAATCAGCTTTCTCACAGGGTTATCAAAACTGTTCGAAAGAGCAGTCCACCACCGGCTCCTAACATCTGCCGAAGAAAACAACTTGTTACTCGAGGAACAGTTTGGTTTTCGAAAAGGTCGTTCGACCGTCCACCAGCTGACTCGAATTACAAACATTCTCAGACGGACCAAGTCTGTTTCGAAAACATCTGCCATGGTGTTGTTGGACGTTGAAAAAGCATTCGACAATGTCTGGCATGATGGCCTGGTGTTCAAATTGCAGCAGTACGGTCTTCCAATCTTCCTAGTGAAGATCATAAACAACTATCTATCAGACAGGACGTTCCGAGTCTCTCTGAATGGCATCTCATCGGATGCTTTCAACATCGGTGCCGGGGTTCCACAAGGAAGCATTCTTGGCCCCATCCTATTCAACCTGTTCACCTCCGATATGCCGGCTCTCCCTGATGGTGGATCGTTGTCTCTGTTCGCAGATGACACATCCATCGTCTACAAGGGTAGGGTCATCGGAGCTCTGACTGCCAAACTTCAGAGAGGCCTGGACGTCCTGTCTGAATATTTCAACAGCTGGAAGATCCGTATCAACGCGGCAAAGACCCAGGTCATCATCTTTCCACACTCTAAATCTCCCAGAATTGTTCCGTCGGAGAATAATAAGATCTGCCTGAACGGCACAGTGGTGGAATGGTCGAAAGAGGTAGTCTACCTCGACTTAACACTAGACAGCAAGCTGATTTTCAGGGAGCACGTTGACAAAACCAAAATCAAGTGTAACATCTTGATAAAATAACTGTATCCACTCATCCACAGGAGATATACTCTATCCATGAAAAATAAGCTTGCTGTCTACAAACAAATCATCCTTGCCGTAATAGAATACGGGATGCCAATCTGGGAGAGTTGCGCCAAATGCCATCATCTTACACTCAAAAGGATCCAGAAAAGAGCCTCATGATGGTCCTAAACAGTCCCCCGTGGACTAGAAATTCTGAGATCCACCTCTTGGCTGGAATTCAGACATTAAAATAACGGATAGTATTCATCCTGAAAAGGTTCAGAGACGCCTGTCTGAGATCAACTCATCAAATCATACGTGATCTAGCACGTTAGGTTAAGTTATACTCGTAGTTAGGTAGGTTTTCACTTTTTTCAATTCAAACAAAACACACCCCCAAAGGGGTATTCTGTAGACTAGTTGAAAAACGCAAAAAAGAATATTAAATTAAACTAAGATGAAGAGCCAGGTAGCATCGGAGTGGAACTTCGGATCAGAAAGTGTCTCCACTTGTCACTTGCGAACACTAGCGCACCTAGTGGTAGAAGGAATCTTCTGTCTGCAGTTAAGATAGGCAGCATGCTATGATAGTGTGAGTGCACATAGTACCACAACACATCGCTTGTTGAGCAGAAAAACGAACCACTTTTTGATTCAACGATTTGTTTGCACTTTCCCTTCTGTTCTGTGCAGGTAGGCTAATCAATTAAAATATTAAATCAATGTACTATCATAATCAACAGAATAAACATAATCTTACTACTAGCACCTTGCAAACAAGGAGTAGCAATTTCAAATTTGTATGTTTTGTGGAAACTGACATTTGTGCCTTTAAAGTTTCACGCTAAGGCTTCCTTAGAGTATCACCTTAAGCTCATGCTGTAGGGCTGCATGCAAAAATACCTATATTGCAGTTTGTATCATAAATGATTCTGGGTGAATACAATACATCCGTTATGGCTGTGTGTCCTGTTGCGTGTTCGGTTGTGGCGTTTGGGAATACCATTTACCATGACAGTGTGCGTTAGGAGGAAGTCAGGTGGCCGTAATGGAAGTATTAACCCTTAACAACATATACGTTGGATAGGAAACTAATCTCGGAATGAAGCATTTTATCACAGAAAAGTGTTACCTAAAACGGACAAAGACAAGATTAATCTGACAGGTAGCACATAGGTAGGATTTAGAGATAAATTTTACTTTTATGCTGATCTTGTGGGAAGAATAGGTTGCGGGCGGACCGCATAGGAAAGCAACTAAGCCTTAAATATGTAGAATAAATTTCGCCATTCACATACTTGTTTGTATTAGATCTTTTATAGTTTGAACTAATTATGTGTAGTTTATTTTTTTATTAATTATTTGATAAATAAGAGCTTTATAATCTTTTTGCTTCCTGCTTCATTGGCATTCTTTTTGCTTCCTGCTTCATTGGCATAGTTAAATATAGCTCGACTTTAATCTTTCTCTAATATTTATGCATATTCGTTTCGAGATAGTTTCAAGAGTTTGAAGCATAACGATTGCAGTCAAAATTGTTGAATGTAGGCGGCAATTTTAAATATCGCTTATTTTATTGTTACTTAGGATTTGCAAGTCGTTTTGTTCGTTTTCAACATTCTGCAGCCGATTACTACACTGAACGTGTAGTTTGAAATTTACGGTTTTTTTTTTCTTATGTGATTATATGTTGCGAATTTTGGTATTTACATAGGGTAAATGAACCAGTTGTTGGCTCAGGAGGTTCTCTTATTAGTCTTATCTTAATTTTCATTTTTTTCCATTCTTTATCAAACTTGTTTCCATGCAAAGGTTAGAATATAGATTTATACACATATATACGTGAATAATACCATGATAACTTATTTCAAATTTGAATTAGGCCCTGCGGCCAAAAACTGGAGCACTAGCGCCATAACTGGCTCTCTTACCATAGTTTTCTTCTTCTTATTTTTATTATTATAGTTAGAGTTGTTAGGTACTTCAAATTATCAATTGTATTTTTTTAATATGTTTTTCTCTTTTAAATTTTAGTTTAGATTTGGTTCTTGAGCGGTTTTTTGTATTTTTGTGTGAATTTTGTTATGTGTTGCGGTTTTTATGGTGTTTTTGTAGTTTTCGAAGTATTTTTATTTTCGCGAATTTCGGTTTTATGGAATTGGGTGTTTTTTTTTTCTTGGTCGGCGCTTTTAGCTGTGTAGCGATTAAATCCTGTTGACTTTGTTTTTATGTCTAATGTCTCATGTCTACTCGTTCCTGAATATGTAATCACAGTACGTACTGAAAAGCTACAGTGACCTAGTGAGCACCACAGCTCGAGTCGTCTGTCAGTGTTGTGTTTATAGGGAGAGCTCAACCGAGATAATTGCCTACAAATTCTGCAGTTGGTAAACTCTCGAAAAAAAAATAAAGGTTGGAAAGGTACTACAATTATGTGTAGTTCTCTTAATCTCATAGTTAAAAATTAAGTTCAATTAACAATAAATGCCATCCAAAAAAATAAATTATAGAAGCAAATGGCTCTGAAATCTAAGTTTAAAAATCGAATAATCCAGCGAGATACGGAAGGCTGTCTAAACCTGGAACTTACAAAATCGTGACTTAACTAAGTATAAATTTGTAGCAAAATCTAAATTCCAATATTTGTCACCTAGTAATTCAAGAAGAATTGGTTTACAAAAGTCCAATATACCGCAATGGATCCAGTCAATGGTTCCCAAAATTGTACAACTTCACATTAAAACTGCTTTAATAATTTTAAAGGTACAACATTATTTTAAGTACACAATGTTTCAATAAACACCATCATGCTGCAATTTAATTGTTCAACTAACAACAAACCATCCAAATTGCTTGTTTGTTTTTAAAGCTATCGAAAGCATTAAATTTACCATAGGTCATGCTGACGCAGTAATCTACTTTATTGGAGCTCAATAAAATCTTTTTGCTGCCGATTTTATGCATGCCTCCTTTCACAATTGGAAAACATCATCCGCAGAACTACATGCACCCGAACAGCCCTGCTTGACCTCGCTGTTGAAGCATCCATGAACTTTCCACGCTACTGCTAGTTGCTTCATATCTACTGTATCTGACCCTTCGGATGCATTTGCTTCGAGGATGATATACGATATGACATCAACTGCGTATGTTACAAAGGGTGTTGGGATCAACATCATATCCAGATGCAGCCTGTTTGAACGGAGAGACAGAGAGAGAAAGAGAGATGGGGATTACAGTGCAGCACGCTGTGTATGATTTATGGACTCATCATAGTCAAATCTGTAGCTTGATAATGGGCATGTAATTGAACACTCGAGATTTACGGATCATAATTTAGTGTTGTTAATGTTAACAGCTCGTTCACGGTCAAATCACAGTTCCACGAACCCACTGGGCATTGGTGGAGCTAAACACCAATACCAGCAACCAGCGGTTGTAGTTTCTTTCTATTCCGTGTTCTCATTCAGAAGAATCGGTTCCGGATTCCCTCCATGGAAACGCCGGAGTTTGTTTATTCTGCGACTCACAAAAAATCCATATTTCACCGCTTGACGGAACCGAGCAATCTCATCGTGTTTCTGATATTTTCTCTACTAAATCCCGTACCCAAATTATGGTGCTGTCATAGTAGCGTGAAAGAATTTGATTAGTTTGCAGGTTGTTTTGTCTATTTTGTCGGTGTGGCATTAATCCAAATTTCGATATAGGCGCAGTCCGTTTTTTCGCTTCTTTGCAGTCCCAATTCTGAAGTGGAATGCTAACACCTATAGTGGCAAAGTCCTTCAACGGGTCAGTCTCGCGTCGGCTGTGAAAGGATTAAATTGATATAATTGGTGGATTTGCAAACTTTGCTCATCTCTTTGAGAGACAACTTTGAGTGACGAGTGTGACTTTTGGTGTTGGTCGTCTTATTATGCTAATAATAGTTTAAAACTGTGTGGTGATTAAGGTTGCAACTAAATACAGAAGGACGAAGCATGTTTCCAATTTTCTTCGAAATAAGTTTTAACGATTATAAAAACAATAACCACTCCCGAAGGAGAACCAGTGAAGATTCCAGCGAAAAGGTTTCTGCCCCAGTTATGAGTTGCCTACTACTAACCGAGCAGCGTTACTAACACAAAATCATAATCTCTTTCCTCCCATCGAAAAACCTCGATTTTTATATCAAATCCCGCAACACTAACAGGAATCGTCACAATCGTCCGCCGAGGACGACGGTTTCCTGGACGATCAAGAAGATCCTGCCTTGGTGCAGCACAACAATAACAACAATAACCACGGTAGCAGTAACGGAACTAATGGAACCAGCGGCGGAACAGGTCTCGCCGGTGGCGGTGGAACCATGTCCATCAACCGGTCCACGAATGCGGCGTCCAAATCGGTATTGCATTTTCGGCCTTACCTTTCATCTTGTTTTATTCTCTGATTTTCGTTCCGTAGTAATCGGGTCCCGATGTGGCATCATGGGACATATTTGATTTCGGTTTTATTCTATTTCCTTCGGTTATTGTTCGGCGTGGTTTTCTCATTTTGTCTCTGCTTCGGTTTTTCGCACTGCTCTTCTGTTTTTTTTTGTTATTTATGCACTTGGGTTTAGTGGATATGTACATAGTGGAAGTATTCCTTCATTATATTTTTTATACCTAATTCATAGAGATCTGAACAAATTAATTTTGTAATATATGTTTTTTTTTTGCAGTTTCGGCTTTTAACTACTCTAAATTTTACCAAATTTCTAAGTCATAAATCATGGCCAACCTCCAGCTCCGTACTCAGCTGGTGGCGAGGTTGGCATTTGCATAGCAAATGTTGAAAGGGAGATACAATTGGATCATTTTCACAAATGTAATTACAATGACGTAATACATTGTTTCTATCAAAAATAAAACAAATTTAATTTCATTATTAAACCAAAAGCGTCAGCCTGTGTTTCGTCAAAAACCGCTGAAGCATTCAAAGAGTGGTTATCTCACCAAAATACATGAGTCTGGATGTTGGGCTGGGGAAAATATGAACTATTATTTTTTAATAGTAACCTAGTTCATGCGTTGCTAAACTACCCAACTTTTATTGTAATATACGAACCAAATGTAAATAAAAATTCAACAATGAATATCTTCATAATGCTAACATGAATCGGGATGTTGTCTTCAGCAAAGTTGTTCTTTATAGTTTTAAGCTGAATGTGCTGAAATTCTGAGCATAATTGAGTTTGCTGAACCAGCATGAAAGAGTGAAGGACTGTTATTTCTCTATACATATTTCATCAAAATTCCCCCTATAAGCTTTAAACCAAATGCGCCATCTCGTGTAACATCCGAAAGAGTTGAAATTATCAGAGAGTGGTTTTCTCACCTAATGGCACAGATATTGGGGTTGGTCCATTGGAAAATAATGATAAAAATTCTCCCGTGTAAATGTGACCCAGTATTATGATTAGATCCAACCATGATTATATTCAGATAAAAACGTCAATTAATTAAACTTTTTAAGAAGATGCAGAAAAGGTCTTCCATTTTAAAGTTTAAAAGTTTTAGCAGTATTATACTGCACAAAAGTTTAAAAAATGTAAAAACCACACCTCTCGAGGATGTTCTAAAGTAAGGCATAATGATGAGCATATGTGTTGAAAGTGTTTTTTTTTTAAACTCAATGAAATCATTTGGAAAATTCTCATGAAATAAATGTGAATCATTTAAAAAGTTCATTTTATTTATAGTTATGAGTTCTTTGAATAATCTTCTTAGCACAGATGGACTGGTAAATTAGGTTCATGATAATTTTTTGATTAGGTCCAACCAAAATCATTTACCCTAGTTCAATGTATGAACTAGCAATTCGTCGATGCTATCAATGTTGTATGATAAATCCACGGATATATATTGAAAATGTATTCTCAATTTGGAAACAGTCATCTTACCCTATCACTGAAACGCATACCAAACGAAATCTTGGGTGCTCCTCTTGCATTTAAGGCTAGTTTGAAAATGTTCTATTGGGCGTAATTTTTCCATACATTTTTTTGGTCTTAAACATTGTTTTTTTTTTGATTAATTAGAGTAAAAAAAATGCTCTGGACCCCCGATAAAACATTTAGAAACTAGGGGTGAACCTAAGCTTTCGTTTGGTGGATGTTATAGCGTTACTGATTTTTTTAAAATAAGGTTTTCTTTCAGAGGGCCATGGCCGTCTTAACCACCATTGGGGCCCCTGGTCTGTTGTTTTTTTTACTGCGGGTCCCCTATGATTTGATATCAATTTTCAAATCCTAGCACACATGAAATAACAAAAAGTACACTTCAAGTCATAAGTATGGAAAAGTATTGCAACACTCATTTGAATATTGCATGACCTTCTAAAAAATATATGTATATCTATATCCAGTGGCGTTTCCTTAACCTCAATCTATCTGTGCACCAACTCTCAAAACATAAACAATTATCAAAATATTGCTTGCAATGGATAGATATCGAGTAAACTAGAAGATTAAGTGTATTTTTCAACCGATTTGAGTATGAATATGCCATTAAATCTAGTTTTGAAAGTTGGTGCACAGGTAAAAAGTGAGGTTACGGGACGCCACTGTCTATAACTATATCTCGAAACCCTGAATATCTGCAAAGTTGTTCAGAAAGCAAAGGGCGTCCGGAAGATGGACAGTTTGGTTCGGAATTATGACATTATGTGGCGCTAAGCGCTAGTGTGCATGTAAAATTGAGCATTTTTGGATTTATTTTATCTCGTGATCGCGACGAAAGTTTGAGTCTTCAGCAAAGCTGTTCAGAAGACTAAGGGCATCTGGAAGATGGCGGGTATAGTTCAAAATTCTCTCACTATGAGCATTTTTTAAATTGTTTTATCTCGTGATCCCGACCACCTAGCAAGTTCTAGTCTTCAGCAAAGCTGTTCAAAAGACCAAGAGCGTTCAGACGGTATACAGCTTGATTCGGAATTCTATCACTACGGTATCGTTAGTGTACATGAAAAATTGAGCATTTTTGTAATTATTTTTTTGTATTATCCCGACCACCTAGAAAGTTCGAGTCTTAAGCAAAGTTTTTCCGAAGGTCATTGCTGAGTGGATAGTGCTTAGTTCATGCAAAAATGTGAAATGTGTCGGAACTGAGAAGTTTGAAATTGCTTGAATCTGAAGGGAATCAGGCCTGAAGATTTTGGAATCCTTGGCAATAAAGTGAACTAAACCTGAACAGTTAAGATCCACTTGAATGTCTGAAACATTTGGAATCACTTGATAATTAAGTGAATCACACCTGAAAAGCTTGAAAGCACTTGAATATGAAGTGAATTCGAACTGATAAGTTTGGAATCACTTGAAAACACTACCATTCATAAGTATGAAATCGCTTAGAAAAGTATTGCAACACAGACTACCATGACCCATTTCAATAAAGTTCATAACCACTTTGGAAAGTACTTAATCACTTCAAGAAAGTTCTGTGTCACTTCGGATTGTTCTGAGTCACTTCAGAACTGTTCAGGATCATTTGAAAAAATACTGAATAACGCCAGAAAAGTACTGAATTTTTTAAGAAAAGTTTGGAATCACTTCAGAAAGTACTGAATCACTTCAGGATAATTTGAAATAACTCCATAAAGTATTGAATCACGTAAGAAAAAATATCAATCGGAAAGTACTGATTCACTTCAGAAGAGTTTTGAATTTACGTCGGAAAGTATTGAATCGATTCAGCAAAATTTGGAATCACTTCTCAAGTACTGAATCTCTTAAGACATGTTCGGAGTCACTTTGGAAAGTACTTAACCAGTACTTAACTCACTTCCGAAAGTACTGATTCACTTCGAATAGAAATGAATAACTTTAGAAAAATTTGGAATCACTTCAGAAAGTTCTGAATTACTTCAGAAAATTTCGGAATAACTTCGGAAAGTACTGAATTACTTTAGAAATTTTGGAATCACTTTGTAAAGAATTGAATTATTCCAAAAATGTTTGTTATCACTGCCGCAAATACTGCATCACTTTGGAAAGTACTGAATCATTGAAGAAAAGTTTGGAATCACTTCAGAAAGAACTGAATAACTTCAGAAAAGTTCGGAATCATTTCAGAAAGTACTGAATCACTTCTGGAAAGTTTGGAATAACTTCATAAAGTAGTGAATCACTTAAGAAAAGATTTCAATCGGAAAGTACTGATTAACTTCAGAAGAATTTTCAAGCACGTCGGAAAGTATTAAATCGATTCAGCAAAATTGGAAATCACTTCTGAAAGTACTGAATCTCTTAAGAAATGTTCGGAGTCACTTTGGAAAGTACTGAACCACTTCGGAAAAGGTTGTAATTATTTAAAAAAAAAAATCTTAAGCGTTTTTAATCACTACCGAAAGTACTGATTCACTTCGAATATAAATGAGTAACTTTAGAAAAGTTTGGCTTCACTTTAGAAAGTTCTGAATCACTTAAGGAAAGTTTAGAATCACTTCGGAAAGTACTGAATTACTTTAGAAATTTTGGAATCACTTTGAAAAAAATTGAATTATTCCAAAAAAGTTTGTAATCACTTCCGCAAGTATTGCATAACTTAGGAAAGTACTGAATCGTTGAAGAAAAGTTTGGAATCACTTCAGAAAGAACTGAATAACTTCAGAAAAGTTCGGAATCACTTCAGAAAGTACTGAATCACTTCTGGAATGTTTAGAATAACTTCATAAAGTAGTGAATCACTTAAAGATTTCAATCGGAAAGTACTGATTAACTTTAGAAGAATTTCCAAGCACGTCGGAAAGTATTGAATCGATTCAGCAAAATTTGAAATCACTTCTGAAAGTACTGAATCTCTTAAGAAATGTTCGGAGTCACTTTGGAAAGTACTGAACTGAAAAGATTATAATTATTTAAGAAATTTCTGAAATTTTTTAATGACTTCTGAAAGTACTGAATCTCTTAAGACATGTTCGGAGTCACTTTAAAAAGTACTGAACCACTTCGGAAAAGATTGTAATTATCAAAAAAAAAAAAATCTGAAGCTTTTTAATCACTTACTGATTCACTTCGAATATAAATGAGTAACTTTAGAAAAGTTTGGCTTCACTTCAGAAAGTTCTGAATCACTTAAGAAAAGTTCGGAATCACTTTGGAAAGTACTGAATTACTTTAGAAATGTTGGAATCACTTTGGAAAGAATTGAATTATTCCAAAAAAGTTTGTTATCACTTCCGCAAGTATTGCATCACTTTGGAAAGTACTGAATCATTAAAGAAGAGATTGGATTCACTTCAGAAAGAACTGAATAACTTCAGAAAAGTTCGGAATCACTTCGGAAGGTACTGAATCACTTCATATAATGAACGTATTGTAATGGCGAACGTTATAGTTTATTTCGCAGTGCTGTGATAAATATT